ATGTCCTTCAGTTTTAGAATAATAGGTTACCCCAAAAATAAATTACTCAGAGACTTTTCCTAAATAAAGTTTTAACGCATCACCATTTGTAATGGTTTCGCTTTATTAGTACACAGTAACTAATAAGTAATAAAATGAAAGTAACAGCGAGTAGCCTAAGTCTTCACCATCGGAGTGCGGCCCCGTCTGAAGCTCTCCTTGGCATTTTATAGCCTTGCACACAATTTGCATTAACATCATCAAAGCCATCCCTGCATTCTTTCCTTATTTGGTAATTTCTTTGCGTACATACACAGACAGGATACACAACCTTTATCACACTTAGCACAGAGTATCAAAAGTTCAAATGGAAGAATTGCAGGGATTCTAAGTATATCATAAAGATATTCATCTCTATTTAAGCCCACAAAAATATCTATTACACCTCTAAAAGCATGGTCCACGTACACATTGTCTCAACCACACAATTCACACTCATAATAAAATATAAATAAATATAATAATACAATAAAATTAGTACTGTTAGTTAGAGATTCCATCTCACAATTCTATTGTAAGATGCAGTCCCTTTCAGAAAACAAAACGTATATCAACCTAAACCACCAGCCTTCAACATTTATAAATTTGGAGAACAAAATATGTGATCAAACATACATCTGAAAGCTCTATAATTTTAGAGCTGGTGCTTTAAGTTTCAATATTTCTAAGTCACTGGTTAATGCTTGCAACTCAAGATTAAACTTATTATATTCAACCATTTCTCTTAACAGTCTCATTATTTTCTTATTCAAAGTTTCCTGTTTTCTCATCAACTTTATTATAGTTCTCATCTTAAAATCCATATTCTGTTGATATTCCAGGTCTCTTCCTTGCAATTCAAAATTAAACATTATATTCAACCATTTCTCTTAACAGTCTCATTATTTTCTTATTCAAGGTTTCCTGTTTTCTCATCAACTTTATTACAGTTCTCATCTTAAAATCCATATTCTGTTGATATTCCAGGTCTCTTCTTTGTCCGGCGGCGCCGCTCCACTTTCGCGTGCTTTTTGATTTTTCGGCTTTCTTCCACCTGCAATCCTTCAATGATGAGATCACCAAAATCAATATTTATTTTACTTGATTCTTGATCGCTATTCCCTAAAGAAATTATATCCCGATTTTGTGTATAATTGTTTCCGGTAGGGATTTGATCAGGAAATTGCATATTCCTAGGCTTATCGACACATTGCATAAACCAACGTTCTCTCACTAGGAAAGAAGCTTTCCAGCAGATGTGGGCTTAATTTCTCTTTATTTGCTCAGAAGCACTAAAACAGCATTCGTGCTCATAGAAGCCCTAAACTAAGCAGGCTGTGCATTGAAGACCTAATATGACTTGGTGAGTCTAGAACTTGTAACACCATGAAAAGGCTCTTTCTACATTGCAAAAAAGATTTAATTTCATAAGTTAGAAAAATGCTTCATATGGGCAATCTTTGCTCATAACATTGCATAAACCAACTTTCTCTCACTAGGAAAGAAGCTTTGCAGCATATGTGGGCTTGCGTTCTCTTCATTTGCTCAGGAGGACTAACACAGCATTAGTGCTCATAGAAGGCCTAAACTAAGCAGGCTGTGCACTGAAGCTCTAACATGACTTGCTGTGTCTATAACTTGTAACACACTGAAAAGGCTCTTTTTGCATTGCAAATAAGATATCATTTCACAAGTTAGGAACATCCTGCATTTGGGCAAGCTTTGCTCTTAACATTGCATAAACCAACTTTCTCTCACTGGGAAAGAAGCTTTACAGCACATGTGGGCTTGCTTTCTCTTTATTTGCTCAGAAGGGCTAACACATCATTAGTGCTCTGCTCATAGAAGTCCTAAATTAAGCAGGCTATGCATTGAAACTCTAACATGACTTGCTGTGTTTAAAACTTCTAACAAAGTGAAAAGACTCTTTCTGCATTGCAAATAAGATTTCATTCCATAAGTTAGAAACATCCTGCATGTGGGCAAGCTTTGCTCTTAACATTGCATAAACCAATTTTCTCTCACTGGGAAAGAAGCTTTGCAGCATATGTGGGTTTGCTTTCTCTTCATTTGCTCAGGAGCACTAACACAGAATTAGTGCTCATAGAAGGAGTAAAATAAGCAGGCAGTGCATTGAAGCTCTAACATGACTTGCTGTGTCTATAACTTGTGTAGTGATTTTTGCTTTCGCCAACCTAGGTAGGCGAAATAGTGTAGTGATAGGTACTCGCGTCACCAATGACGTTATGATATTTGGATCACGTGTCACTTAAAGTGTGGTTATGAGTACATCACATAAGAAAGATTGGTGGGATCTCTAACTTGTAGAACCTCTTTCTGTATAATCAACACAAGACACAAGTGTAATAAAATAGATTTTATTAACTAAAGATAGAAAAGAGAAGCTTTGTCAAGAATGCAACAACTACTAAATGAATACCATAAATGAAATATTCCTATTTCATTTATGGTATTCATTTAGGAATTTTGTTATTTATTAGGGGCGACTGTTAGTCTTTCTTCCGAATTCCATCCCCAGAGTAATGGTCAGACAGAGAGAGCCAACCAAAATTTAGAACTCATGTTATGATGTTTGGTTTCATAGCATCCGTCCTCCTGGAGTCAGCAGCTCTCATGGGTTGAGTACGCACACAACTCTTTACCGGTATCGGCTACGGGCCTGTCTCCGTTTGAGTGTAGCTTAGGATACCAGCCACCTGTTTTTCCCAGTACGGAATCCGAAGTCACTGTTCCCTCTGCTCACGCTTTTGTCCAGAGGTGCTGTCGCACCTGGAGCAGAGCCAGACAGACTCTCCTCCGGGTGGGAACGCGCACCAAGGCTCAGGCCGATCGCCACCGGTCGAAGCCTCCCATCTACGTCGTTGGTCAAAAAGTGTGGCTTTCATCTAAGAACATTTCTCTCCACACCGTTTGTAATAAACTTGCTCCCAAATTTATCGGCCCATTTACTGTCACCAAAATCATTAGTCCACCTCAAACTTCCTCCAGCGTAAAGGAGAGTTCATCCCGTATTTCATGTTTCTAAATTAAAGCCCGTTTTTCATTCTGCGATTAATCCGCCTGTCCCGGTTCCCCCACCATCTTGTAGACAGGGAACCTACCTATTTGGTAAAACGTATTCTGGACTCGAGACGGAGGGGACGAGGATTCCTGTACTTGGTGGACTGGGAGGGTTACGGGCCGGAGGAGAGGAGTTGGGTGCCTGCGAGAGATATATTAGATCACTCCCTTATCGATGATTACAATCGCCAGGCAGGTTCTCCTGGGAGCGCCGAGAGGCGCTCTTAGGAGGAGGGGTAAGGTCACGGTTCGTGGGTCCGTGTGCTCATTCCTGTGTGCGTGGTTGTCTGCTGCGTCTGGCAACCCCGCCCTCCTAATCAGGTGTTCACTTGAAGCCTATCTGGGCTACCTTTATCTGGCTCGCGCTTTCACGGTCCTTCGTCAGTTCGTTGTCTCGCTAACCACTGTTTGTTCTCTCCTAGACTCCTAGTGTGTTCTCTGTGATCGTGCTCCGGTCCTGCTCGGCCTTTTGTTTCCCGTTGACCAGACTTCTGCTCTCGGACTTTGTTTTCTACGAACTTGGACATCTCTCGGATTATCTGGATGTCCTGTTTGTTTCCACATTCTGAGAATTCTTAATAAACTGTTTTTCTTTCACTCACAATTGGATCTGAGCCTTGATTACGTGACAGTGAAGCTCATAAAAGTGAAAGCATGACATCAGTAGCAAACAGATCACATGCCTCGAAACACATAGAAACTGTGATTCACTTCTCGTGAGAGCGTCAGCACCATTCAACAGTGTGATTCACTTCTCTTTTCTGCCAAAGATTAAGAGAGATTGAAAAATATTACACAGCCATCTTGTCAATAACTTAATTGACCTATCTCATAGTAGTTTTGTTTTAAAGGGGACATCGGATGCCCATTTTCACAAGTTTCTTTAGGGTCTTCATGAAATGTCTGTAACATACTTTGGTTAAAATTCCTCAATGGTCATGTAAAACACACCTTTTTACCTTGTCAAAAACAGCTCTGTTCACAGCGACCCATTTCAGCGCGTGTCTCTTTAAATGATAATGAGTTACTGCTCACCCCATCCCTATCTTCCGTGGGGCGTCGACACAAGATGCGTGAATTGCTGCCTTGGACTCCATACTGTATATGGCTCAGAGGTGGTCTTCTTCAAATAGCTAGCCATCTACATAGAAACTGGCTGCAAACTGAAACAGCTCGCTGGATGAGACAGTTTCAGACTCAGACAGACAAACTGGCTGCGTGTTTTCTTTTCAGCTTTTCTGAGCTGGCAGACATGCCAGAAACCCAAGTAATCACAAAAAAAAAAAAAAAGGAAAAAAAAAAAATAGAGAAAAAAAGTGATTTTTTTAGATTTAGAAAGTTGTTGCTTTCCTTTACACTTCTTTTATTTGTTGTAATGTCACTCCATCAGTATTTTATGTTCAGACTCCAACTGCCTTAGGTCTGAAATAAGCAATTTGTCTTGTTTTTCTTTTGATTTCCATCTCTCTTGATCCATCTTTCCATTGTCATTTTCATCCATATCTTCAATCTTTTGATTTCAGTTTTCATTTGTTCAACTATAGACTGATTATTCAATATCCCTATCTCCAAAGGGGTTCTCTATTTTATTTAAATTAACAATCAGGTAAATGGCACTATGGTCAGAAATATCCGTGACTCCAATTTGGCAATCCTGTATCCTATGTTTTCCTTTTGTGTAAAAAAAAATAAATAAAAAATCTATTCTTAAATACACAGTGTGTGTGCCTGAGAAATGGTTGAAATCGCTTTTCTTAGAATGGGTTTCCCCCCATATGTCAGTTAGTTCCAATTCTTTATATTTTATATTAAAATATATTCGAGAATGAGCTGATTTTGCAGCTTGGTATTAAAATAGGTTATTTTTGGACTGAAAAGAGAGTTATGAGGTCTGAAACATATCAATTAAACAACTGTTTTACTGCATTCCTTATTTAAATTACACCAGTTAAGTCAAGAGTACAACATATAAAGTTTAAGATGTTTTAAACTGTGTCTATATAAAAATACACAATTTTCAATTTATTTTATAAGGCTGAACTGACACATCAAATCATTGATGCAGATGTTGATACACTTTCCATACATTTTCAGCATGGGAATCAAAAAGCTCAACACAACTACACGCCACAAAAAATCATTATTTTCATCAACATTATTTATACTCCCGTACATGACCGAAGTACAGTTCTGAGTGGCCATTAACGGGCCATGAGTCTGTGTCTGCTGCTCTGATCCACCAGTCTGTGATACTCTGATAGTTTATCTTTCAGATTCTTGTACATCTGTAGACAGAGAAGTCAAGTCAGCTTTATTTATATAGCACTTTATACAATACAGATTGTGTCAAAGCAGCTTTAAAGTGTCAAACGGGAAAATAGTTTGTCAAGAAAATAGTTTGTCAAAGCCAGAGAACATCACAAAACCATACATGCAAAATGTCATCATACTTTGATTTCTTAACTGCCCACTTTGAAAATTAAGATTTTTATTGAATAGATTAGATTCATCTGTTGTTGAATTGTTGTTGAATATCTAACCCATCTCAATAGACGAGAACAGGTTTCTAAAGTTCTGTTCAAAATCATGAAATAAAAATCTTGGGCATCATGACAAATGCAAGTGAAAAATACTTCACCTTTTCATTGATCTGACTTTCACTGAGGTTTCTTAAGAGCTGATCAATCGATGTATAAGGCAGCCATACCAGGGATGCTGTAGCTGAGAGAGGCCGCTGTCAGGAAATCAAAGGACAATAATAAATCCACTCAGAGTACTGTGCAGAAGTCTTAAGCACATTAGATGTTTGACAAATTTGCAAACATTCCTTTTGCAAAGAGTGAAATAATCCAGTAAGATTGGGTTGTGAAACCCTGCTTTAATGAATATTAAACATACACATTACATATACATATATATTTCATAATACATAGACAGTTTTTGTTTCAAATTGTTTATTCAAATTATTGAATAAACAGATTTTTAAAAAGCCAAAATCTATTTTCTGTATTTTATTTAAATAAATGGGTTATTTCACATCTTGCTCAAATTTGTCCTCCAAACAATGTGCAAATTAAAGACTATGATAACAAATATAGTGACTGTAGGGCACTGTGTAAAAAAAACAAAAAAAAAACAAAAACAAAAAAAAAACCTTGCTTGTCCAGTTTAAATGTCCATAAAAAAACCCCACCATTCACTGCTGTAAAGAAAATCAGTGGAAAGTGGATATTGCTGGTGTTTCAAACGTGAGCAGCATGTGTAACAATTGAAGCAATGAGCACATACAAAAGTCTTTTTTAAATATGCTTGTGTCCAACCTGTTTGCACAAACTGCTATTTACATAACTTTATTATTAGTTGTAAACTAATTAGTAGGGATGTAACGATTAACCTCGAGCCGGTTGAAAATAGATTCAAATATGTGACGATTCAAATCGGTTGAGATGCTAAACGGTTCATTTAGGTGTAGGGGTTTATATGAATGCATGTCTGAGGGGAACTTACTGTCTTTAGAAAAGTTTAGATGGTATTTTTTCTTTTCATCTTGCCTCTGTATAATGCATATTAAAGTTCACAAGTGCAGCCTGCTTTGTTTACAGCGGAAACCAAGGAAACGCTTTAAGCGCAGACGCTTTTGTCCAAAGCGACTAACTAATGAGGACAATAGAAGCAATCAAAACCAACAAAAGAGCAATAATATGTAAGTGCTAAATTAGTATATTATTATAGTGTTATATTTCAATTTCACAAAGAAATGTGCAGCATTTTGTCCAAGCAATAATAAAAGGACACATTTAATTTATAATTTGTCTTAAATCTCATTTTGTTAAAAAAATTAATAAATAATCGTGAATCGAATCGTGAGTTGAGTGAATCATTACATCCCTACTAATTAGGGATGCACCATACCATTTTTTTCAGAACCGATCCAATACCGAAAATTATAATTTTTTTTAAATCAATGCAAAATTAGTTGACCTGATCATCACTGTTTTGTGTTAAACACAATCTACTATAGACAACTTAATTACACAGAAAAATAACAATTGAAAAAATATAATCATAATATATTTATGATTATATATACAGGTACATCTCAAAAAATTTGAATATCATGAAAAAGGTCAATATTTTTTGTCACTCATTTCAGAAAGTGAAACCCATATATTATATGGATTCATTACACATAGTGAAATATTTCAAGCCTTTATTTCTTGAAATTTTGATGATTATGGCTTACAGATAATGAAAACCCAAAATTCAGTGTCTCAGAAAATTAGAACATTAAATAAGATCACTCTATGGGGTTCAGGTCAGGAGAGTTTGCTTGCCAATCAAGCACAGTAACACCATGGTCATTGAACCAGCTTTTGGTACCAAATAAGATCAATAAAAAAAGGATATTTTAAACAGAAATGAACATGCTTTTCAGAAGCCTGACATTTCTATGCACTCAATACTTGGTTGGGCCTCCTTTTGCATGAATTACTGCATCAATGCAGCGTGGCATGGAGGCAATCAGCCTGTGGCACTGCTCAGGTGTAATGGAATGACACCATGACTTTCCAATATTGAACTTCTTCACAATATTCTAATTTTCTGAGACACTGAATTCTGGGTTTTCATTATCTGTAAGCCATAATCATCAAAATTTCAAGAAACAAAGGCTTGAAATATTTCACTCTATGTGTAATGAATCTATATAATATATGGGTTTCACTTTCTGAAATGAGTGACAAAAAATATTGACCTTTTTCATGATATTCAAATTTTTTGAGATGACAGATGAATATATGACAAAATATACTATTATAAACTAGGTTAGTGGATAATTCAGCAGAAAAAGTTACTCTAGAAAAATAACGAGTGCACAATAATTTTATAAAATTTAAACAATAAGTGAAAAAACATTATTTAGTGGGGAACAAAAGTGAATAAGTGTAGGACTAAATCTGGTAAAATGTTACACATTGCTCTTTTGGCACTTTTCCACTGCATGGTACGGCATGGCACGGTTCGCTTTTGGGGGGTTTTCCACTGTGTACAGTACCTGGTACTTTTTTCAGTACCACCTCGGCTCAGGTTCCAAGCGAGCTGTACCGTTACCAAAATGTGACGTGTAAACCCAGACATGAGACACTAGACCCACTAGATTAAATCAGCACAGCCAGCGAGGATCGAACGCAACTTTTTTTCGAATGAGCGCACCTTTTAAAATAAATGGCCAACAAAATAATGGCTTTCGTGGTCTGTTGAGGAAGTACAGACGTTCCTCTCGTTGATAGCCAAGAGCTTGATGGGACGATGCGGAATGAAAAAGTTTTGAAAAAGACGGCGCAACTATAACAACATGTCTATAATCCCGCCCACTCTAAAGCGGCACTAAACTGCAGTGGAAACGCAAACCGTGATGTGCCGTGCCGAGCCGTACCATGCAGTGGAAAAGCGCCATTTGTACTGTTGTAAAATACATTCATGAAAAACAACCGACCGAGTTTGAACGCTGAATGGAGCATGACAGACAGAGGAGAGGAGAGAAGAGTTTACGTGAACTTGAATTTAATGACTTAAATATTCATCTGTACCTCACATTAAACTATAAAACTTCTTCAGAACACTTGGAATATAGTGCAAAAAAAAACTTTATGGTGCTTTATAATGTTTTGAGCCTTTAGTGGGGTTTAACAATATCTCAGAATAGCATACGCACAATATCGGATTTGGATTGGTCTGGTCTGACCGATACCCGATCCGGCAGAAAATGGCAGTATCAGAGCCGATACAGATACTGAGGATCCGATCAGTGCATCCCTAAAACTAATACACCCACAAACTGCAAATATACTTTGAAAGATTTTAAAAGCAAATGTGTATTCATTATTTGCAATATTAGCAATTAACGACCGTAATGTCTACAACAGACCATAAAGTTTTAATTCATTTCAGATTGTTGTGAGGAAAAAAAAAACTGAATACTTATTCAAATTGTAATAGTAGTCAGGACTACATACCTCTATACCAAAATACTGATGTCCCTTTCCAAGCAGAGCATCCACATACTCCAGCACGAGCTCAGCTGCTGACTCCAGCTGATCATAGTTCAGATAGAGACGCAACAGCGCAGCAGCATCGACTTCCTGAAAGAGAACCACAACCATCCTTTATGTGTTATACCAACAGAGAACAGGGACGGTGTAGAAATTATGTCTGTAAGCATACAAATGGTAAAGAAAGCAAAGTAAGCTTTTCTTTTATGCAAATTTTATTACTTTTTTGTTTTTTTACAATAAATTTTTTTCATTAGTGAATATCACAAAACCTACCAAGATGATGTCTGCCTCAATTTCAGTTTAAATTTAGAAAAGCACAACAGCAACAGATCTGTTCCAAGTAAATTTGATAGGACACTAGGCTTGCCGCGATAGACGGTGTTGACGGTGATACCGGTGTTAAGCCGCAACACCGGTTACGTCACTTGCCCACCGCGTCACCGACCCCCACCGTCGTTTTGATTTTTTATAGTAATAAAAATAATTTAGTTCAGTAACGTCATTTTAGCTTTCAGAAGGGTGCTCGTGAGCGCCCCCTTTGCACCCTCGATGTGCACTTCTGCCGAGCCTGCACTGAGGCGAGCTCCGCAGCAGACTTCTACCCGACAGTCAAAGTGGCATTGCATCACGAAAGGGTGGACTTAGAGGAAGACCGCGAGGGTTTAGGGTGTGATTTCGGACAGGGCCAAAGTATTAAGCATTGATATTTGTCTGCGCAGGCAGTCTGATGTATTTATCTCTATTACGTAATAAAAACAGGAAGTACAAAAGTTGTTTTGCTGCTTGATTACAAAAAAAAGCTTAATGAAAGGCTGAATAAAAGCTGTTTTTGAATTCACAAGTTTTGAGGTCTGAAATTTACAGTATGTTTTTAATATTACAATGATATTTTACAATATTACTCTTATATGTCAAAAGATCATGGAAAATATAATCTCTCAATTAATGACCCCTGTCTATTAGATGTAATGCTTAAAAAAAATCATCCACCTTGTAGGCATTGAGCAGCCAATCAGGCACTGGCACCCCATGTGAGAGCAGCTTGTTGAGGACACAGCGATGATACTGAGCGTTCTGTGAGGGATATTTCTCCAAATAATGAGCTAACAGCCGCCAAGCTTCATCTGTCGCACTGTGTGGAGAGAAATTCAGTTAGGAAGACACAGAGCAGAGTTCATCGCAATGATCAAGGTCAAGGAGTATTTTAACAGACCTGGACTCTTTAGTAGTAATGACAGTTGGCAACTGATTAGCTGCAAGCCAGTTCCACACCTCCGTCTGGTCAAGATCGCCTTTATACTGCAGTTTGATACACCTATACACAGACAAAATATGCAGTGCAGAATTCAGAACAACAAGCAGTCAGCTGATTTTGATTAGGCAGACACAAGATCAATCAACTTACTTGAAGGTCAGTCCTTCAAATACAGGTGTGAGGGATAAGTTAAAGGTCTGACATAGTGTCAAGGCTGTGTCAAATAGTCCTGTTTGTACCAGCAGAGCCACCATCTCTTGTGAAGATGCACCTCCTGTAAAAGAAATAACACCAGGATCAAGTTAACCTTTTAAAAGAGCTCAGGAAATAGTTGCCACTATTCAGACAAAATGTGTTTGCATACTAAAATAAATAAATAATAGCATTAAGTATAGCTACGCAACCATTCACACCCCATGAAAAGTTCATAAATGAGGGCAATATTATAATGGATCTCAATCTGAACAGCACTGATGGGCAATCTTTAGCATTGCCTGCTTTGGCAGAAATAACCTCTTGTAAGTGATTTTTACAACGGTACTCTTACAATTAATTGGGAGAATTTGCTGCTCATTCCTCCATGAAGGATTCCTTGAACTGTGATATTAAAATCTTAAAATCTTTTTAGTAAGTGTAGATGTGTTTGTGTGAAGAGAGAGAATAGCATCAGGACATGAACAAGGTTGTTAAAAAACTAAAACAGCAGCAGCTCATGTTAACCAACTCATGTTAATCATGAAGCTTATAAACTTGTTTATTCATTCATTCATTATTTATTTATAAAGCACATAAAAAAAAAAACAGGGTTGACCAAAGTGCTGTACAGTTTAGTCAAATAAAATACAAATTATAATCTTTCAAACAACAAACAAAAACACTAAAATAATAAATTAGAAACCCACACTAAGAAAATGTGTTTTAAGTTTTGATTTGAAAGAGGAAAGTGATGACACCATTCGGATCGACACCGGTATGCTATTCCAGAGTTTAAGGCCTACTGTCACAAAAGCTCGGTCTCCACAATGTTTTAACCTCGATCTACAAACAGAGAGCAATCCAAGGCTGCCTGATCTAAGTGACCTAGAGGGATTGTGATAATGTAAAATGTCAGAAAGATACGTTGGTGCTAGGCCGTGTAATGCTTTAAAAACAAAAACTAGAATTTTAAATTCTATTCTCAGTTTGACTGGTAGCCAATGCAGAGAAGTTAAGATGGGAGAAATACGATCAAATTTTCAACTGCCAGTCAGCAGCATTTTGTACCATTTGAGGACGCCCGATAGATGATTGATTTGCACCATAATAGAGTGAATTGCAGTAATCAAGTCGTGAAGTAATAAATGCATGGATAACTTTTTCAAAGTTCTTTAAAGAAAAAACAGGTTTGACTTTTGCGAGACGTCGTAAATGATAAAAGCAGGATTTGACAACATAATTATTTTGTTTATCAAACTTAAGACCTGAATCAAAGAACACACCTAGATTTTTCGCACATGGAGTAACATGAGAGCTTAAGTCGCCAAGGTCCAGATCACCAAAATCATAGGAATCACTAGGACCAAACAGTATAACTTCGGTTTTATTCTCATGTAAGGCTAAAAAATTGTGTGCAAGCCAAATTTTCACTTCATGTAAACAAGCTAGCAGAACCTCTATGGAACTTGAATCATTATGTTTAAAAGGAAGGTATAATTGGGTGTCATCAGCGTATAGGTGGAACGATACTCCATATTTAGAAAAGATGGAACCCAATGGCAGCAAGTATAAGGAGAACAGTGTTGGTCCCAGAATAGATCCCTGCGGAACACCACAAAAAAGATGTGCGGTTGAGGAAGTGTGTTTTCCAATACAGACAGAGTTTTCCTATTAGTTAAAAAAGACTGGAACCAATTCAAAACGGTACCCTGAATGCCTAAAAGATTTTCTGTTTATGTACAATTACATGGAGTATGTGAAAATATTTTTCCACTCTTTTGCAGATTGTAAATTAAATTATACATTTTGAATAATTCTTTTTGTCAAAACATTTGACAGCTGTAAATACATACATAATTTGAAAATGAGTTGCATTTTCAAATGCATGTTATAACTGACTCAAAATCACACTGCTTGCCGCCAGAGATGGAGTTTGTGTGGAGCAGCATTTACTATGAACCAAGTCACTCCTGAGACACTGACAGCACAGGATCAGAGCATGTGAGCGAAGCGGAGCGGTGTGACGCTCTGCTACGTTTTCCGCTCTATGGACGGCCGCTCCACTCAGTCGCTCTAACCGCCCAAGCAAGCGCTCCGTTAATATTCCGCTCACGCTCGCCGTAAACCAATTCCCGCTCAGATCCCGCTCCGTTCTGTAAAGAACAAATTTGCGTGCATTATATTAGATTATAAATTACTGCTGCCTATATCTAGCCTACATTCTGTAGGTCTACCTATTGTTTCGGGTCAGTTTTTAAAAAAAAAAAATATTTTAATAGGCCTAAGTGGTGTAGGCTAATATCTTCTGTAATTCTCGATCATTATCGATCTCGAACAAGCAAATCACCAAACGGCATTCTGGGTTGAGCGAGCGGCGCTGAGCGTATTGAGCGAGCGGAGCGGAATCTTCAGAAAGGCTCTCTGCGCTCTTAAGGAAATATTACCGCTCCGCTCACATGCTCTGCACAGGATCATGAGCTGCTGGAAAAACGCAGCGCCTCAAACTAAAATGTGACTGATATGGTCACACCGTAGAGCCTGGATGTAGTTTTGAGCTTGTGTTCATTGCTTAAGAAAAGTTAACTGCTAAAAAGGAATGCATTAGAAAAACTCAGCTATACATATTGCAGAATATAAGTCATATTATATTATGAGACGTGCTGAAATCGCGTTTGGTCTCGTACTGTATCGCGTACCTTGTCAGTGTCGTGTGCTTTGCTTGGCCATTTGTTGTGATAAACAGGAAAGTGTGTTTCCTATTACTTGTTTCCCTTCTGTTTGCAGTTTTTTATAACCAATTCTTACTATGTGTTTCCAGATCCCTACTATCACTACCACTCGCAAACCATGCATCACACACTGTAGGCAGCGCAATCCTAACAACCTGCGCACTTTGCCTATGTCTACTAATATACTACTTTCTTTTTCTATTGGTCTCTGGACTTGCCAGTCTGCTGTAAACAAAGCAGATTTTATTACTTCTATTACATGTCATTCAAGACTAAACCTCATGGCCCTGACAGAGACATGGATCAAACCAGAGGACAATGCTACACCTGCAGCACTCTCAAATAATTTCTCTTTTTCCCACTCCCCCGTCTGACTGGAAGAGGTGGAGGTACTGGTCTGCTTATCTCTAATGATTGGAAATTTAATCCTTTACCATCTCTAAGTATCAACTAAGGAGCTCCTTTGAATCACATTCGGCCATTATTACCCACCCTCTTAAAATCCATTTTATAGTTGTTTATCGACCCCCAGGACCACTAGGTAACTTCGTGGAAGAATTAGATGTATAATATATATATATATATAAATATATACACCTTGCTGCGTGTACTGCGTTAGGCTAACCGAGACTTGTCATTTGCACTTTATATTGTTCTATATTGTTGCTCTTTTGTTAGTTTTGACTGCTTTTATTGTCCTCATTTGTAAGTCGCTCAAATGTAAATGTAAATGTAAATATTAGGGCTGCTCGATTATGGCAAAAATTATAATTACGATTATTTTGGTCAATACTGTAATCAAGAGTTTGAGTGGGCCACATAACCAAAACTTTATGAGTGATTTATTTAAAGATAGCGCTATATATCAAATATATATTTTTTGTAAATAAGGTTATGACATCTACATTTTAGATACCAGTGAAATTTCACAATTCTCAATACCACAGCAGAATACTAGGGTAACTCATACAAGTAAAAAAATAAAATAAAATAAAAAGTCCTCAACAATTGTTGAAAAATTATTAAACGGTTAATAATACAATTAAAAAAAGCAAAAGACAAATACAATATATATAAAAAAAAAGATGTTTCAAGAAATGAAACAATCAGTGCTTTACGTTTTTTATGCAAGTCTAAAGTATTCAGCTAACTGCCTAGTACAGAAATTGAATAATCGAATGTAAAATAAAACAGCGTAGTCTTCACTGAAAGAATTAAACTTCCTTTGTTTCTTATCAAAGCTACAAAAGTCATGAGCAGTGAGTGATTTTCTGTCTTTTGTTGTTTGATTAATATTAAGTACACAGTTGGCAGCAGGAACATTAGCCTGCTGTCACTTTAAGAGCCGCAAGGATCCAATATAATGTTACACAAATATTTTAATTCTCAAATGTTTATGTTCACTTAAGACATAACCAACAAGGGTTTCCATGAATAATAATCAAGCACCGCACTTTGACACAATACACATACGTGTATTTGACCGTTTAGGCACGCAACAAACTAAAAGTTGACTTTACACGTCCGTGTTCTGTTCCGTGTCGGTGCGCATGCACAGAAAACCTCCTGAGGAACAGTGCAAGTTCTTTCATGCTTTTAAAAACACAAATAAATCAAATAAACTTTAATAAATCAAGCACGTCCCATTTTGCGAAAGTCACGTTACATGATTTTACTGATTTGCATGCGAAGTTTGGGCTTTTATGGAGGAGCGAAAGCACACCACTGGAAAGGGGGCGGAATGGGGCACAATAATCATTTTATCTCGATTATTGGATTTTCATAATAGTTGGAGGTCGAAATTTAAACTGTATTTTGATTAATTGCACAGCTCTATTGACATTAATAAAGGCAACATAATTGAACAATAATTTAAAAGCGTCTTCTAAAAGGAAGCATGTAAACCACCATACCTGCAATGGCGGCTGAGGGGGGGTCCTGCTGAGCCAATGTCAGCCGACTCCGAGCAAGAACATACTCTTTCTCCAAGTCTTTCAGCTCAAGAATGTCGATCTGTTGACTTACTGTGATCACATGACAAACAACTTTAAAATGTGTAGCATTTAAAAAACAACACCAGATTTTGCTGATATTACTATATCAAAAACACACCGATTATCAGATTATTAGGCCAATAGTTTTAAAAATATACATACAGTATTTGAATGAAAACTGTAAAACATACAATATTTTGATACCTCAATTCATAATGTGGTCCATAGAGAATCAAGTACACAGTAAGAAACCAGATATTCATTCAGCATCTGCGCTTGCTGATTCAGTTATTTATTCATTAGACTGATTCAATTTGAGAAAGAACCAGATTCATGGACTACAATACAATGGTCATGCTATATGTTTTGCATGCAGCAAGCAAACAACACAATAGCAAAAGGTATGCGATAACCATATTAAATTTCAATCATCTTCAATGATTGTGCTTGTATCAAGACAAGTGGGTGGACACGTAGAAAAATGTTTAATAGACGAGTGTTGATCTTCACCTGTCAATGAAAATACTGAGTTCTGAATGAAAATATGACTACTAGCATACACAATTTAATCATGTTTAAGTTTTAAAGGTGGGGACAACAGAGTAGTCCACACAATTTTACAGGGTGATTTGGGGAGGAATTACCTGGATTTGCAGCAAATTCGCCATCATAGTTCCTTTTTGGTGATGTGCCTGGTCGTTCGTACTAGTCAAAAGTCAAGTCATGATATATAAAAAAAACATTATAATATATGTTACAAAATTAGGTTATAGATGTATACACACAGAGTACTGTTCAAGTCTTAGGCACATTAGATGCTTCACAAAACTTGTGCACAAAACTCATACAACGTACTTATTAAAGTTAGGTTAAAGACGTTAACTGATAAAAAATCTATTCATGGCATTATTTTTGAAAACACCCTTAATTTTACAGCCACATGCCTTCTGCACTGCGTTTATAAGTCTAAGTTATTCTGACAGGATAACGTTGCTAGTTCTGAGAAAAGCTCTAGCATTATTTGTTTTACAGATGCCACTTGGTTTTACTTTTGATGTTTTGTATCCAATGTAATGAAATTCAGACATCTTTATGTGTGACCTAAAGTGTCCTAAAACTCATGTATGTACATATTCATTAGGGGTTAACAGTATACAGAAGTCACGTACCTGGGTTTTGGGGTCACGGTTAAATACGAGTACGGTAAAACAGGAAATGTATTTATTTATTTATTTTGAACAGACAGTAATGCTACATGCAACCCTCTACATTGCGAGTAAATCACTCGCATATGCGACTAAATCTTCACTCTGGCGACTAAATGATGTCTAACTTTAGCCAATGGCTAATACATTCTCAGATTTTACTCGCCAGTGTGTGAGTTGGAGGCTAAGTATAAGTTTAGCACAGATATATTTTCACTCGCCGAACACTCTGACTGAGCACTTCAGAGTTTCTCTCTAGGTCAAGCGGTCTGTGCTATTTTTCAGTTCATCTAAATGGATGATTTTAACGTATTTAACGTACCGTAAATTCTAGTGTGAAGGCGCACACCTTGCCATGTAGCATGAGCAGTTGTTTTTGACACCTGCACAAAACAAAAACAGCAGGAGGACTGAATGAAAATGCAAATTCACTCTCTGACAGCATGTGGCGGAAAAGCAGCATACAGTATTTCCTTGGTTACTGCTGTAAACAAAGCAGCTGTGCTTATAAACACTACTTTAATATGCATTATATGGAGGTAAGAGGAAAAGAAAATGCCATCGAAACATTTCTGAAGACGGTCAGTTCCTCTCAGAGATACATTCATATTCAGAGATCTATATAAACCCCCACATATTTCTCTTATAATATATTTTGAACATCGCGAACAGGGAGTTTGATCTGCCTGGTACAGTATTTTCTCCTCTTTCAGACTTCATAAAAATTCCACACAAATTACATTTTGGGAAATGATTGCAATGCAGCGAGTGTGCAATTCTGGAATAGAGATCGGCCAAAATAAAACTAACAGTAACACTTTCTATGAAGCCCGTATTTATAATACATTATAAGTGT